CTGGGCTTCAGCCACCTTGAGATGCCAGGCGTGCCGGTAAGGCCTGCAGGATCTGTCCTCTCTGGGCCCACTCCAGACAGACCTGGGGTGGGGGTGGGGTGGGGGCGCGGGTGGGTGTCGATTCTTCTGCGACAGGACTGCCAGGCCTGGGCAGTGTCAGCGGCGTTAGCAGCCAGTGCTCCCTGGGACTTGGTCCTGATGGTCTTCTGGACTCCAAGTACTCTCCATCCCCCACCCCAGCAGACCACTCAGCGCCTGTCCCATGACCAGCATCCAGTTTCCCCTTTTCTCTCCTGAGCCCCAGCCCCAGGGGGAGTGGTGGGTGTGCTGCCTGGACGGGGGAGGGCTTCCTGCTGCTAACCCATCCCCCCCAGCGCCCTAACCTCAGGTTCCTCCTTTCCCAGCCCCAGCTCAGGCTCCTGCTCGAGGCTAGAAGTCCTTGTCATCTCCTGCGTAGCCTCCCTTGATACTCGCTTCCAGCCACTTCCTCATTTGGTGGGGGCCGCCCAGCCTGGCTCATGCTGTCACAACCACGTTGTCCCCCACCTGCCTCACCCCAAAGCCCTAGTCCTGGGTCTGTGCTGTGTGCTTCTGTGTCACTGCCTATTCCTCTTCCTCCTTCTCTGCCTTGCCATCACTTTCTTCTTCCCTATCTTCCACCTTGCTTCTTTTTTCTTTCTCTCTAAGGGTCAAATATCGGTCTTTGGGTCCCGGGTTCCATTTCCACCTTTACTTGCTGTGTGACCTTGGCACAGATTATCTTTCTGTAAAATGGGGCTAAGAGCATCTCCCTCAGAAGGGTGTTGTTGGGGGTTAAATGCATTACTATTTGGGACAGAGTGTCCACATGTCATTAGTATCCATATCCTGATGGTTCTCTTTTAATATTCTCTGAACATTACAAGGTTCTGATTATCAAATAACTGTAAGTGGTGCTAATAAAAAGCTGGCAAGTGTCAGATCCTGTTCTAGAAATATTAACTCATGTGATCCCCGCAACACCCTACAAAGTAGGTACTATTTTACTCCTCATTTTACAGATGAGGAAACTGAGGCCCAGAGAGGTTGAGTGACTTGCTCAAGGTTGCCCAGCCAGGAAGAAGGAGAGATGGGTTCACTCATAGTCAGCCACTGACCCTCCTGTTATGATGATGTCTGACCCCTGTTTGGAGACGAAGGCCGAGCTGACACACGTACACTTTGCCCTTCATTCCAGCCTGGGGGCTGCAGCCTGGCCCCTGGGGTGTTTGGGCCTGATTCTTTCTGGTGTTATCTGTCTCTGTTCCTCCTCCCCCAACGTCTCCTCCTCCGTCCTGCCGCCACCCACCTCAGACTTCCTCCTTTACTTGGTTGGACACTACGCCACATCCCATCCGCCGTGGACTGCAGTGTCCAGCACCGTCGCCTGCATCATGGGAGGCCTCAGACCCGCCAACAGCCTCCTGTCTCTCCTTCTGACTGTGGGTGGTGAGTTGGGGGCTTCTGCAGTTCCTCGGCTTAGCTTGGGACAGGGCAGGGAGCAGGGCAGAAAGAGAGAACCAAAGGTGGCGGGGGGGGTGGGGGTGGGGGGGTTGGAACTGGAGCAGATTCCGCAGCCCCCTAAATTCTATGGGTCTCTCCCAGAGCATGTGCCCCCAAGACGCGGCCTCTTGTAGAAGCAGAGGGAGGGGACTCAAACAGTGTTGCAACAGCACAAGTCGATGTAGAAATAATATAGCCCGGTGGCCCTGATGCCAGCCCACAGGTCCCATCAGACGTTGTTTTCCACCCTCCCCGGCTTCTATGCCCATCCCGCCCACTCCCCTGGCAAGTTATAGCCCCAGGTCTCAGCTGACCTTGTTTTTCTCTCCTCAGGTGTCAGCCTTGTCCAGGCCCAGAGAGGTAGGCCTAGACCCTGCCATTCCCCTCCCTCCCAAATGCCACCCCATCTCTGTCCCTTCTCCAGTCTCTCCAAACCTCCCCCGATGACTGACACCTCCTCCCAGCTCCCACTGACCTCCCCAACCCCTGTGCCATGCATACATTCCCAGAATGCAACTGCTCCACCGTGAGCCCTGGCGTCCTGGCAGGGATCGTGCTGGGGGACCTGGTGCTGACCCTCCTCATCGCCCTGGCCGTGTACTCCCTGGGCCGGCTGGTCCCTCGGGGTCGAGGGTCTGCGGAGGGTGAGTGGGTCTGGCAGGAGATGGCCTGGGATGCTCTGAGGACTTGCCTGGAGGGGAGGGGTAAACTCCCAAGTCACAACCCTCCAAAGGGAGGTGACTGTAGGGGCTGATTTTGTAACAACAAAATAGCCCCAACTCACACCCCGTCTCCAAACGCTGGTGCTCCCCACCCCCCTGCAGTGACCCGGAAACAGCACATCACTGAGACAGAGTCGCCTTATCAGGTGAGGAAACCAGCTTCTCTTCTTCAGACCTCAGTCCTGCCTTGCGGGTGTCTGTCCGAGAAACCACCCCCGCCCTGCCCAGTCCCCAGTCCCTGCAGAACCTAGACCCCAAAGCCACTTTCTTAGCAGCTCCTCAAACGCTTGAAGACAGAGTGCCCAAAACTGCTTTCAATGATCAATCATGACTTTATGCTCAGCTTAAAATGTGTGGAGGGGAAATACAAGATGGTTTGCCTCAGCCAGAGGGCAGGCTCTGAATTCTTCTGGAAAAGCCCAGCCCAGGACAAGCTGATTTCCCAGAGAAGTCCTCATAAGGGCAGAGGGTATATATACATTTCAGCCCTAGTTTGGTAACTATGAAGAGAGGAGTTCTAGAAATTTGGGGGGAGGGATCTGCATCCCTTTGAGAATCTGATGAGAGCTAGAGAGTCCTCAGAAAAATCCACCCCCAAAATAAAAATTGTGCATATAATCTAGGGCAGGTCAAGTATCCTTGAAACCCTTCTTAAGAACCACGATGCAGAGAGTGACCTTAAGATATTTCTAGTGTGACCAGTGGGCTTCCCCACCCCCTCAACCCAAGAAGGTGATCAAAACAAAGGATGATCTAAGTAAGAGCTGTATTTTAAATATTTAGACAGTTACTGGTTAGTGGTTTCTAGTTGAATTGGTTATCTATCTAGTTAACCAATGCTGGAGTCGTGCAGTCATCTATACACGATTGAAATGTATTTAACTGTGAAACGCGCTACCCACCAATGAAGAAATAGACCTTTATGAAAACTGTGAAAAATTTCCATCTTCTGCCTCTCTGTCAGTGCCATTCTTAACTCTTCAGGGAGTCATGAGCTCCTCTGAGAATCTAACGGAAGCCAAACACCCTCCCCATAAAGATGCCCACTCAGACGGGGCATGTGCGTTTGAGTTCAGGGATTCTATCTGAGGCCTGCATCTTGGGGCCATAGACCACCCCCTGCCCCCATTGTGAACCCTGCTCTGCAAAGTCTGTTTTACTTGTCTGCAGCTAGCTTCGCTTTGCCTTTCTTGTGGATTAAAAAGTCTCTTTGTAAAGTAGAAGAATCTCAAGTTTCGCTCTTTGAGGTCCAGAAGACTGAAGGGGCTTTCCAGCTACTGGGGGCAGTGAAATTTTGGTGGCAAAGCATTACCCCAATTTATTTACTCCTTTGCTGGAATTTGTTGGGGACCTATATATGCTAGATGCTGGAGACACAGCAGCGAGCTTATGTCCTAATTGGAGAGACAGACTTGATGCAAATTAACAAATAAGATCATTTGGGGAGACATCATGAAGGAAATAAAGCAGGTTGATGTGGCAGTGACTGGGGTGTGGGGGGAAGAAACTATAGATGGGGGAATCAAGAAATGCCTCTCTGAGAAAGTGACTCGAGCTGAGACTTAAAGGGGGAGAAAGAACCATCCCTGGGGATATCTAGGGGGCCAGCGCTCTAGGCAAAGAGAATGGCAGATACAAAGGCCCCTTGGCTGGGGCATGATGATGAAGCTGAGGAGGAAGGGGAACATCAAATGCACTTCAATAAAATCCAGATCTCTTTCACGGCTACAAGTTTGAAGAAGCTGCCGGGGGCCTTGTAGGTCACTGGGAGACAGCTGGATTTTGTTTTAAGTTTATTTGGTGGATCCCTTTCACTGATGGTCCCTGCCCTGTCCATCCCTTTAGGAGCTCCAAGGCCAGAGGTCAGATGTCTACAGCGACCTCAACACACAGAGGCCGTATTACAAATGAGGCCCAGCCAGGGCAGTCAACAACCTGATGCCTGGATCCAGTCATTCCTGACACCTGCCCAGCACCCTATTCGACTCCCACTACGATACAGATCCACAGTGTCCTCCATGAGATGTCAGACCTCTTCCCACTATTGCCCCCAAATAAACATGGAGCACATAAACACTGTTGAGTTATTCCAGATCCCTGGGCTGGTGGGATGGGCATATGTGGGGTTCTGGGGGAGATCAAAGACTCAGAAATAGCTAAATGAGAAAGAAGGAGGCTTGGGGGACCCTGGGTTCTTAGGAAGAATTCGAACTTGAGGTATTTCAATTGTTTTATTCCAGCCTCAAAGAGGAGTAGGTTTCCTGTGCCGCCACACACAATCCAGGATGAGAGGGTCAGAAGTCAAAGGTCTCAGTTACAGAGTTCCAGGGCTCAGCCCCTGCCAGGCATGTTGATGTAGATTTTGCCATCTTCTGGGGGTGGGGGAGAGAAAGCACGAGGCCTGACCACCCACCTCCCACCCACATCGCCACCTCCCTGGGGACCCCCTGCTTCAGGGGTTTCCTCAGGAGTTCCCCCAAGCACCGCCCCCAGGGTTTCCCCAGAACCTCCAGGGCTTGCCCGGGGGCCCCCACCGGGGGACCCCGTCCCTCGGGACCAGGCCTGGCTCTGTCCCTGCCCCCACCTTGGGTGGGCCTGCGGCGTGGGCGGGCACACAGAAACACCACCACCACGATCAGCAGTGACACAACAGCATCTGCGGCCACGAGCCCCACCAGGAGTGGCAGGGAGAGGGGCCCACATCCGGAACAGGAACCTAAAGGGTGGGGGCCAAGACAAGAAGGTGGCTGAGGGGGCTTCCAGACATTCAGGGCTGGGCTTTGGGTATAGGGGGCAGAGGAAGTCCCTGTGGGGGTGGGTATCCCAGATTCCCGGGGAATGAGAGGGGAGATGGAGATCCAGAGAGAGGTTGCGGGTGTCCCAAGGCTCTCGAGGCTCTGCTTTGGGTATAGTGGGTACACCTGAAGACAGGCCGGGGGGTAGCCAAGTCCTTGGGCCTTCAATTTGGTGATGAGATGGGGACCCAGAGAGGGGATGAGAGGTGAGATGGTGACCTGGAGAACCTCTGGGGATGTTCCAGGACCCTCAGGCCACACTTGACTGATGGAAGCAGTACCTGAAGCGATGCAGCAAAGGGGAAGGGGTGCTGATTTCTCACCTGGGGTCATCTGAGCGGCAGCCACTGTAAAAGGAGAGGGAAGGTCGATCAGCAGGGAGAGGTGGTTCCCAAAACAGGGTGCAGGGGAAGGTGATGTCCTGAGAAGTAACCTCCACTCCGGAGAGATCAAATGAGAAAAAGGGGCCCAATGGGAGGGGAGCTCCCAGAGACAGAGAGAGGCAGAAAATCAGAAGTAAAGGCAGAGACCCAGCAGTGAGAAGGGGATGAACAGGCAGCCACTCCAAACTCAGCTTCCCTCCCCCAAAGGACCAGGCCCAGAAGCCTATCTCTAGAAGAGAAGGGACACCCGGAGAAGGACCCACACTCAGCACCCCTCCCTTCAGATGCCACCCAAAACCTCCCCTTTCACAAAACTCTGCCTAACACCCCCCACAGCTACTGGCTTCACCTGGGAGCAAAAGCAGGAACAGGATGTCACCTGAAGGGACCATGGTAGGCTGGAGGCTGGAAGGGGTCTGGCAAAGGGCTTTGTTTCCAGAGAGGTCCTGAGGAACAGTGGGGGAATAGAGAGGCAGCAATAGCGGATGTCACTCTTGCTGGTGACAAGGCCACCTGCTTCCTGTGTGCATGTGTGGGAGGGGAAGAGCTGGTGGATCCCTGTGACTGCCTTTGGGGACAAACTGGGGGGAGAGTCAGAGAACCAGGGAGGCTGTTCTGATAGTTCAGATGGGAGGTGACAGGTAGCCCAGGGTGTGGGCACTGGGGAGATTCTGGTAAGGTTTTGGAGTTAGAGCCAACAAAACTTGCTGATGGAGTGGATATGAGTATGTACAAGAGACAGTGTTCCAGGATGACCAAACTCCTGGCCTAAGCAACTGGAAAGATGAGCATCCTTTGACCGGATAGAGGAGGGGAAGGAGGTTTGGGGGGAAGTGCCAAGGTTTGGGCACACTAAGTTGGAAATGCCTGATGGATCTCCCTGTGGAGAAACTGAATGACCACAGCTGCCTCTATAAGTTCAGGGGATAAATCTGGTCTGGAGATGTAAATTTGGGGGTTGATGGCCTATGGATGGTATTTAAAGCCATGAGACGGGGTGAGATCATTGAGGAAGTGAGTCCAGACAGAGGCGCAACACCCAACACACCACCTCCCCCCAACACCAAGAATGGATGAAGAGGAGGAAACAGCCAGGAAAACAGAAGGGGCAGCAAGCGAGGGAGGAGAATCAGGAGAGCATGGAGTCTTGAAAGCAGGGGAGAAATATGATTTACATCGTCACCAAGTTGAGAACTGAGAATGAGCCTCCCCCTGGAATGTCAGTCTGCTAGAGGGCTGGGAATTCCTGCCTGCTGAGTTCACAGCTATACCATAGCACCCAGCAAAGTGCCTCCCTTGTGGTAATTAATTATTTTTAATGATGAATGCATAAAGGAGAACTGACCTCTGAAAAAGAAGGGGATGTGGGAAAGAGGGAGAAATTGAGTCCACCTATATCACTTTTATGTATACAGATCTTTCCTCTCTGGAGACCACGGAGTCCAGAACCCCAGTCGCCTTCTTCCTCAGGACCCAGTAATAATGCCACCACCACCCGCCTATGCCAGCCCAGGATCCAGGAGTCAAGGCCTCCAACACCCTCTTGGACAGAGACGCCAAAACCCAGGTCCCCAGTTCCCTCTTCCTTCAGGAGTCCTCCACCCCAGGCCCCTTCTCCCTCAGACCAAAGATGGGGCTCCCAAACCCCTCTTTCCGGGTTGACTCAGGAGTCTGGCCCTCAGAGTCAGCCCCGCCCATTCAGAGACTGGGTTTGCTAGAGCGCAAAGTGGGGACTCCCGGGCCTGTGGGCGGGGCCCTGCCTAGGACTGGGCGGTGCCAGAACCTCAGTTTAAAAACTCGCGGGGGACCCGACACAAGATCGGGGACCCGGCGGCGGCTCCGCGGGGAAACAGCGAGACTGGCGCAGCGCCGAGGCCGGGGCCCTGGGGGCCCACAATCCACGCCACGGAATCCCCGAGGTAACGGGCAGGGAGGTGAGGCGCGCTGGCCCCTAAGAGTGGGGCTGGGAGGCGGTCACTTGAGGCTCTAAGGGATGGAGCTAGAGCACCAAGTCCTGGGTCCTGAGAGTGAGGGTACCCGGTGTTTGGAGGGGCAGAAGGCCCAGACTCCTTGGTCGTGATAGAGGAGCGGCTGGGATTCTGGACTCCTGAGTCCCAGGGGGGCGGGGGCGTTAAAGGGCTGGGGATCCGGTATCCTAGGACCCGCGGGTGAAAGCGCTGGGAGCCCGGACGCCTGGGGTCCCTGGGGAGGAGGGGGCTGGCGGTCTGGACTCCAAGCTCCAGAAAGAGGCTGGATCGTGTCCTTGGGGGGCGTGGTTGTTTAAAATCAGCCAAGGTTCAGTGGGAACGTCCGGCGCTTGGCCG